AAAAACAATACCTTGTCAGAACTAAATTTTCTAAGTAAATTTTATGTTGGTACCTCCCCAGAACCAACCTTTTTTTACAATAAAAACAACCATGCCTTGTCAGAACTAAACTTTCTAAGTAAACTGAATGTCGGTACCTCCTCAGAACCAACCTTTATTTACAGTAAGAACTTCAATACCTTATCAGAACCAAATTTTGTCAGTAAAGTGAATGTCGGTACCTCCTCAGAACCAACCTTTTTTTTTATAGTAAAAACATCAATACCTTGTCAGAACCAAATTTTAAATGTAACTTTTATGGCTGTACATTCTCAGAACCAGCCATTATATACAGTTGAAACAAAAATCTCTTCTTAGAACAAATTTTCAAAGTAAACTGAATGGATGTACCTCCTCAGAATCAACCGTTATTAACAGTTAAAACAACAATACCTTACCAGATCCAAATTTTTAAAGGAAACTGAATGTCGGTACCTCCCCAGAACCAACAGTTTTTTTACAGTAAAAACAACAATACCTGGTCAGAACTAAATTTTCTCATTCAACTTTATGTCGGCACCTCTTCAGAACCAACCTTTTTTTCACAGTAAAAACAACAATACCTGGTCAGAACTAAATTTTTTATGTAAACTTTATGTTGGTACCTCATCAGAACCAACCTTTATATTTACAGTAAAAAAAAAAAATACCTTGTCAGAACCATGACATTCTGTATGTTCTCAGAGGGGTCTATTTTAAATATCTCGATTAAGGAAGGTAGGCCTGGGTTAGATATGTTATTCTTAAAAGTCACTGCTACATGTACGGTATGTTTATACAAGTCATATTCATTTATTTAAACTAAATTTTTTGTCGGTACCTCCTCAGAACCAACCGTTATTAATAAAAATTTACAGTAAAACAACAATACCTGGTCATAACTAAATTGTATATGTATACTTTATGTTATAGTACCTCCTCAGAACCAACCTTTATTTATAGTAAAAACAACCATATCTTGTCAGAACTCAATTTTGAATGTAAATTTTATGACTGTACATTCTCAGAACCAGCCGTTATATCATACAGTTGAAACAACAATCCCTTCTCTGAACAAATGTTCTCGGTAAACTTTATGTCGATACTTTCTCAGAACCAACCGTTATTTGCAGTAAAGCAACAATACCTTGTCAGAACCGAATTTATATAACTAAACTTTATGTCGGTACCTCCTCAGAACCGACCTTTATTTTTAGTAAAAACAATCATACCTTCATGCCCTTGTCAGAACTAAATTTTAAATGTAGCTTTTATGACTGTATATTCTCAGAACCAGCCGTTATATACAGTAAAAACAACCATACCTTGTCAGAACTCAATTTTGAATGTAAATTTTATGACTGTACATTCTCAGAACCAGACTTTATATCATACAGTTGAAACAACAATCCCTTCTCAGAACAAATATTCTCGGTAAACTTTATGTCGATACTTTCTCAGAACCAACCGTTATTTGCAGTAAAGCAACAATACCTTGTCAGAACCGAAATTAAACTTTATATCGGTACCTCCTCAGAACCAACTTTATTTACAGTAAAAACAATCATACCTTCATGACCTTGTCAGAATTAAATTTTAAATGTAACTTTTCTGACTGTACATTCTCAGAACCAGCCGTTATATAGAGTAAAAACAACCATACCTTGTCAGAACTCAATTTTGAATGTAAATTTTATGTCGGACTGTACATTCTCAGAACCAGCCGTTATATCATACAGTTAAAACAACAATCCCTTCTCAGAACAAATGTTCTCGGTAAACTTTATGTCGATACTTTCTCAGAACCAACCGTTATTTACAGTAAAAACAACAATACCTTGTCAGAACCGAATTTATATAACTAAACTTTATATCGGTATCTCCTCAGAACCAACCTTTATTTACAGTAAAAACAACCATACCTGGTCAGAACTAAATTTTCTGAGTAAACTGAATGTTGGTACCGACTATAGGACGGTACCTCCTCAGAACCAACCGTTATTTACAGTAAAACAACAATAAATTATCCGAACTAAATTTCCTAGGTAAACTTTAGGTCGGTACATTCTCAGAACCAACCGTTATTTACAGTACAAACACCAATACCTTGTCAGAACTAAATTATCTATGTAGACTCTAGGTTGGTTCCTCCTCACAACCAATCGTTATTTACAGTAAAAACAACAAAACTTTGTCAGAACCGATTTTTTTATCGACTTTAGGTCGTTACCTCCTCAGAACCATTTTGTTTATTTGAGACACGAAACGTACCATGCTCAGTACCAACCATTATATACATTAAATTCAACTGTATATACCTTGCAAGAACCAACTTTTGTACTTTTTTAGGATCTCAATGAAAATGAATGGGGAATGTGTCTATGGGACACAGATGATGTCCCCGGCCCGCTTGTATATAGATCTCAAAAACAGTCAAAGTGACGCTACCCAATTTCGTACTTGATCAGAGTTTTGTGGTAATAAGCATTATGTATAAGTTTCATAACATTTGGTTGAGGCAAACTTAAGTTGGAGAACGGAAACGAAAATTTTAACAATTTTCCATTTGTAAAGGGCATAACTCTAGAAAGGTAAAAGTGACGCCACCCAAATTCAATCTTGATCTGTGTTTTGTGGTAATAAGCATTGTGTATAAGTTTCATAACATTTGGTTGGGGGCAAACTAAAGTTAGAGAGCTACTATTTGATTTTTATGGGGGGGGGGGGGGGGGGGATTTTTTATTAGTTTATCCTGACATTTTTTACATAAATTGTCATCCTGCCTTTTTTTGCCAAGCTGCTCACCCTGCCTATTTTTTTTACTCAAAACTCTTGTCCTGCCTTCTTTCTTCAAATTTCATCCTACCCCCCCCCCCCCCATACAAATCAAATGGTAGCTCCCTAATAATATAAGTCAAATCCAATCATTATTTACAGTAAATTATACACCCTGTAAGAACCTACTTCTGTATTTAAAATATAGGACGAAACCTCCTTAGAACCAACTAATATTTCTGGTAATTCAACAAAACCTTCTCAGAACCAAATTGTTTTCATTATTAAAAATTGTTACCTCCTTATGACCAACCATTTTTTTACTTATTTTTGAAGTGAAAATTCAGCGGTTGCGATGCTCTATATTGTCAGTTTTCACATACTCATTTTTCAAGTTATGTAATGAGTTAATGAAAAAAAATTTTAATTGTTAAATATACAGCTAAAACTAAGCAAAAATGGATAGACGTACAAATTTATCGAGAAGCTATTTTCCCTTATAACAGCTGTATAATGTGACATAAATGTTTTAATTTGTTTATCTTACCGACTCCCTATTCCATATTTAAGAAAACAAGTGTATTCGAAGAAAAATTGTACGTGTAAATTCGGACAAAAATATTTAGAAAGAAAATTAACCAAAGATTAAGAAACTAATTGTATAATAATCATATTTTATTGTAGGATACACTATCTAGCACATAAAACCAAATTGAAATATGTCTCTTGGGACCAATAGATCATGAAGTGTAAATAACAGATGTTTCTAATATATAACTGACAAAGATAATAAAATATAAAGTTATCTAATTAAGGACGCATCTCAAAACATTAAATTTTACATACTGAACCCAAAACACCGGCTAACATGCAATTAATGAAGTCTTTAATTTCTATACTTTATCATTAAATCAGAGACATTGTACAAACTGAAAGTGTATATAATCTAAGACTACTGTGTTATAGTAGTCTCAGATATAATATATGTCTCCGAGTAGATCAATATATATGTCGTGATTATTGGTGTACATTCAGGTCATAATTGTTTGTCGGTAATTAGCTAACAACTGCTGCGCATGACTTTTGAATGGTTCTGGAGACGTATTCCGGTGCTGCATTTGTACGGTTCTGTGCTCGTACCGGCTGCCGTATATTGATGCCAAAAACTGGTCGAAGTCTCATAACTCCCGTAAAAATGTTCGGATCAAAATGACAATATTATACGGTCAACTTCACATGATGGCAAACAACAGTACTAAGTATGAAAGCTTTCTGTCAAATGGTCTCAGAGGAGTTGTGTTCACAAAATGTTAATATCACATAACTCCAAAAATAGACTAAGACCCATAACTCCAGTCAAAATGATCGCATGTTTCGATCTCAAGGGTATCGCCAGCACAGTATTCTGGACTTCCTGTGTTGACAAAAAATATCCACGATATGGTTATATTTTCTGATAATAAAATTTTAGATTATTCGAAGCATTAGGTTTCACTACCCTAAGGCATAGATCGCCTTAGTCGTATTTGACTCAACTTTTCGTTATGTTTGGTTTCCAATACTCTTCAACTTTTTTTTTATTTGGACTGTTTTAATTCGAGTGCCACTGATGGGTCTTATGGTGTAACAAATTAAATGCCTGGCATCTTTGATGAGTATTTACAACTTCTGAGTCTATACCACTGCTGGTGAACGTTTCGCTCCTAAGGATATTAAGACGGTGGAGCAGTTTTTATGTATTTAAGGAGCACAACCTTGTTAATCGAGTCCGTTATTTGTGATCATGCACAAGGGCATGTATTAACTGAAATATTTAAACGACATACGAAGGAGCAGAGTTACTGCTGAGAAATAGGAAGTTAACAACTGGAAATTTGATAACGATATTGAATTAAAAGATGTGTCAACAGCCTTCCATTACGTATATGAATTGTACTCTTCTTTGGTCAAGATTTTTCGTTTTGGTCAATTTGTAATGTTTTATCTGCACGTCAGTTCTTAAATATTTGTTTCCTTTTAGTCGTGTGACTTCACTGTTTCACTGAAACTGATAGCTTCACCTCGAAAGTAAGTCACCATGACCTAAACATTACGTTCCATTTAATAAAGATGCATAAAAATCTTTAGGTGGAATTTTTGTATACGAGTACAATTGTATGCATTCCAAACGGAGTGAGATAAGTTACATTGGTAGTTTGTCTTTTCAGGGAACATCAATTTTTGAAAACCATTAGCTACCGAAACTGGCCCACTGAAGATTATATGGTTAGTAAAATCCATTTTAAAAGTTATTCAGGAATGGAAAAAAAATATTTACAAAAATAATGGAATTCCAAGGTAAATTAAAAATGGAAATGTCCATAAAACCTGACAGAACCAAACGTTCGCCTATATCAACTAACGGAACGAATAGAAAACAACATATTCCTGACTAGGTACAGGAATTCTCTAAAGAAAAATTGTCTGTTATACCTATTTTATAGCTCGCATAACCTCTCATTTGGTTGAAAGTTGTTTATAGGTGTTGTTTGCCCACGTAGTCCTTCATGTAAGATTTATAGATATACTTCCGTTTGATAAAATAAGTTCAAAAGTTTATCTTTAGCTAATTAACCCCCAATGAATCAAATATACAGAAATCCACAGAAACAACGAGTTCTGTGCAGATCTGTATGTACAACTATCAATAGACACCAAAGGATGTTTGAATACAAATCATTAAGGTCCAATAGGTTTTATATATAACAGGGCTTATAAAATTCTTTTGGAGAACACAATAACTATATTTGTAGGATAAATTGTGGATAAATTTTACAATGTGAGTAGAAAAACAAGTCTGTGAACAAGGGAGCACAATTAGATCTAATTGATTACAAGCTGTCCGTTAGATTAGCAATCCATAAAATCCTACACAATGCTGTAAATCATCAAAACCTATTTAATAGTCCAGAACTTTGATAATTTACACTTCAGTGTGTTTGTTATTGGAATCAGAGTTTAAAATAATTTGTTAACATTATTCTTTATCAGATGTACAGATGTTGCGATATCGAAATCTAACAGTTCGTGAATGTCCCTTCTTTTCCATTACGGAAAAAAAACCAGGCAAGATGCAAAACATCTCCTCACAATATTTTTGAAAATCGTTTAAGGCAGCAATAATGATAGATGATAACAGATGGGTTTATGAAAATATACTACAGTATATATTGTTAGCTTTTAATGTGTTTTCTGCATTTATTTCAATCGTTCATCATATTTTTTTCCAGTTTACTTTAAAAGATGGTGTATGTGATAGAATTCCAGACCAATGCCAAGATGCTTCAGATTTATATGGGCAAACTGAACTCTACGGGAAAAGGTATACACATGTTTCTTAAAAACCCTTAAGATATATTGATATGTAATCTCTCAAAACCTTCTTTCCCATGTAACATGCAGTAATTTATTTTCTGTACACTTAACAGTCTATACCACACATCAGTTGAACGTTTAAAAGGTTAGGCATAAGTTTTGAGCAACATGCAAAAATGTCAACTTTTGGTTTACATTATTAGACAGAGATAAAAAAATATCTTTCATGTCTGTCATAGATAGATATAAGAAGATGTGGTATGAGTGCCAATGAGACAACTCTTCATCCAAGTCACAACTTGTAAAAGTAAACCATTATAGGTCAAAGTACGGCCTTCAACACGGAGCTATGTCTATATTCAGATGAGGCTGTATCGTCACTCTTTGAAGTTCCTGTCATGACTAGGTATTCCTTAAGTAAATATCTCAAAGAAAACCTGAAATATTTTCCCTGTTTTTTTATGTCCCATTCTCTCATTGTGTTTAAAGATTTATATAACCAAATATTTTAAAAACGGAATATTTTTAATTCAAAGCGAAATGATGGGTGGAAGAAAGAAAAGTTACACTTTCCTATTACTAGAAATCTTTTTTGATTTTGCGGAGTTCGTAGATTTGTGTGCTCTCTGCAGTTACCTTATGCACATTTCCGTACCAAGTCAGGAATATGACAGTTGTTATCCATTCGTTTGATGTGTTTGTTTTTTTTTATTTTGCCATTTGATTGGGGACTTTCCTTTTTGAATTTTGCTCGGAGTTCAGTATTTTTGTGATTTTACTTTTTCCGTGTGGTATTTTATTTCCCTTTACATAGAAGTGTTATCATTTATCAGCAAAAATTTCAGGTTTTGGCAGTTAAACCAGAAAAAGACAAGATAATACAGCGATTCATATTGCCTTACAAACACATTGATGAGGTATCAATTAGATGGCAGAAAAACAGAGGCAATTAAGATTTCATTCCAAATCTATACCTATGAAACATCTTCTGAAAGTGTTACTGCATCTGGAAAATTTAAGATAATGACACTATTCATGTTTTATCAAAACCAATTGCTTTTTTTTAAAACAAGAGAAAAGATAAACTAATTATAATATTTGTTTCTTCTATGTAAATCAGATGTAATTGTCTCATATTTCAGGGTTAACGCCCATTAGATATTAAAAGCCTACATCTAGTACTTGTTAATTCCGTCCAGACTCCTGACAACTAACATGCAGATATTGCGTGTGTTTAGATATGGTCTGATCTATTTATGTGAAGTGGTATAAATGTAAAGTAACAATACCAAACATTAAGAAAAAAGTGGTCCATGTCTGCAGAGCGAACACACAATAGTAGTTGTAAGGATAATTCTCAGGAGTTTATATGTATTATGTCAGTTGATGTGATACTTACACATCGAATTTTTAAAAGCTTTATTATATTTCAAATTAGCAAATTCTGCTTGTAGAAAGAGTAAACCAATGTAATGGTAACACGTACAATAAACACAAGCTTTATTTTAGCATTCATGCCTTTTTAGAGGGTCAGTGGAAGACAATATGAACAGATTTAACCATTATAAAAATGTGAATGAAATGTCTTTTGAATATCTTTTCTTAGTTTTTGAAACTAAAACCGGGAGTAAAGTATGTGTGTTATTATATAGCATTTAATTATTACTTTTTACTTTAGTTTGAACTATGTTAAAATCAACATTTATTACGAAGATCTGAATTTTGAGAGGATAGTAGAATCTCCGGAAATTGAGGTGATTATGATATGATTATGTTCAAATGTCATAATTTACTTAAAATGTGCAGTATAAATAAAATTGAGAATGGAAAGGGGGAATGTGTCAAAGAGACAACAACCCGACCAAAGAGCAGAAAACAGCCCAAGGCCACCAATGGGTCTTCAACACAGCGAGAAAATCCGGAGGCGGACTTCAGCAAGCCCCTAAACAAAACTGTGTACTAGTTCATAGGAAATGGACGTCACAACTCCGAAACATATAAATGAACCGAAATAAAAAAAAAAAAAAACATGCAAGACTTACAATGGCCAGGGGTTCTGACTTTGGACAGGCGCAAAAATGTTCCGGGTTAAATGTCTATAAAGATCCAAAAATATAATTTTTATTACGGCGACTGTATTAATATTGTATTGAGTTGTGTGATTTTAGAAAATGACTAGTGTTTTTCATACTACTCTCACAATTTACCATAATGGCTGATCATGTTGTCAAAACTTTGCTCTGAGTATTTGCAAAGTTATACATGCATCGACTAGTTATTTGTGTATTTTCCTTTCTTAATTTATTAAAAAAAACTACCCGTTTAGCACTATATCAAGAAAGACTTGATAACTGGGATTTATTAAGGATCCATGAAAAAAAGAGAGGCAGAAGATACCTAAGGGACGTTCAATTTTATAAGTCGACGACAAACTGAAACAGCGCTGGTAAAAACAGAAAAAAACGACCACACAAACAACAGTTCACAAAACAACATGGAAAACTAAAGACAGAGCAACACGAACCCCACCAAAAACCAGGGTGATCGCAGGTGCTCAGGAAAGGTAAGAAGATCCTGCTCATCGTGTGTTTAAGTCTATAATTCTGTGATGTCACAATTGTTAAACACTTGTTCTGACGGGGTTAAACAATAGATAGATGCTTCCAACGGCGACAACAACCAAAACCTCAAGAAAAATAGTATTTTGTAATTGCTTCAACAAAAGATGTCTGTTGGTTAACATGACATTGAAACAAATGTTAGAATTAATTTTCGTAAATATTAAAAAGGTCGAGATTTTTTTCTTATTTCAGAATGCACAGTTTGCATCAGATGTAGGTGGTGCAGTAGGCCTTTGGATTGGATTATCTTTCTTAAGTATGTTCGAAGTTGTACAACTGCTTTTCGAGTGCTGTGCATTTGCAGGTCATAAATGTACAAATCGAAGTAGGAGGAGAAAAGGGAGGCGAAGAAAGAACAAATCAACTAAAACAAAGGATAATATATACTCAACAGAAATGGATGATAAAAAATCTAACTATTCTAAAAAAGAATCGGAAAATAATTTACAGCTAAATAAACGTTATCAGGATCTATATGCTGGGAGTTCGCACGAATATAATTACATTGACAACCGAGTATGAACTTAGAAATCTAGAGATGTATCAAACTGAATTGTGATATTATAGGACAATCATCTTTGTTATTTGACCATATGAAATTTATAAAGTGTTTTGTTCATTTTTTGTCGGTCTTTCTTGTTATGGTTTTGTTATGCTTGTATTTTCTTTTTTTATGGGCCCGTCCTTCGGTTGAATGGACGTATAGTGCTACATATGTATGTCATTCTGACCTTCCTAATTCTAACTGCTGTCCAGATTTAAAATTTTAGTTTTTTGCTATAGTTATTGAGCTGATAATTATTAGTATTTGACGCTGAGCTACATATTCGAGTGTACATTTCGTACTTTTCCCGGGGATTTTCCTTTGAATTTAGCAGTTTACGGGGCATTCGTGTTGTCTCGGCTAGTGTATTATGTACTGGAGATTAAATTATCAAGCATTATCAGGACAAGTCATAAAAAATGATGACACATCTATAAATATTTTTTTTTATGATACTTTATTCATAAGGTAAATTCTAAATATTACTATTTTTTGCATATTCATCTACTGGTTGTATTCCACAAAACAAAGGTGGTATGTTAGTAGAATAGTTGGTCCATGAGATATGAATGTTAAAAAACAACTAAAGCTGTAACTTGTTCAATGGATACAGAACATGAGATTACTATTCTGCAATAATATATAGATAAGAACTGCTAAACATGCAATGCATGTCCGACAGCTGATGTACTTGCTGAACATCGTAAGGATGAATGCAGGCATATTAATGTTAAAGAGATATAAATTCACACTGCTTTGTAAGAGACTGACACTCTGAACCGGGTGTTTAATGTGCTAGCTCACAAGGTTACAGGAAGACTAGTAACTCTTCCTTGAAAAATTATTCGTACTCATCGACATCAAGTCTGTTCTTACTCCCAAATGCCGCCTACTTGTTGTGAAGCAGAACAAACTCCATTTGAACGTACTTACTTGGTTTAGCTATCGTTAGGGCGAGGACTCGCAAAATTCAGGTATCAAAACAAGGACGAGACCACCGATTTGCACATTAAAAGAAAGTGATGCGAACCAACAATTTAAATAAATAAGTTCGCGATTGTCTTGTATGTTGTCATTCAAGTACGTTGAACAACGATGGCAAATCGGTTGCACTACACTCAAGTCTCAAACTAAATACGTTGTATTGTTCTTTGCTGTAAAGTATGAATCTTAGGTAGAAATTCTATTCCATTATTTTTTACGAAGTGTATCGGTTCTTTACTCATAAACGAACAACATATCATTTGTACCTGATTCATTTCGTGAGTTAGTCTTCTGAGTTTACACGTCAATATACTAATATATTTAAATTAATATTTGTTACTTTAGTATGTTGAACTGCGATTACTATAATAACCTCAGTGTCGAACTACTTGGAACAGTATGCAACACGTAAAAGAAAGAGAGTGTAGGATTTAAATATGACGATCAAACAGTACATCGTTGGTTTTTTCGTTTGAATTGTTTTACTATTGTAATCTCATGGCTTGTTATAATTTACTATAGGGTGTGGGTATTGCTCATTGTTAAAGGCCGTAAGGTGACCTACAGCTGTTTAATATTTTCTACGTTATTTGGCAGATGCCGATCCAGGATTTTGAAAATGAGGGGGGATTAACCGTAAATGAAGCTCCATAAGAGGGGACGGGCACCCTAGGCCCCCGAAATCCTCCTCTGATTGGTCTCTAGTGGAGAGTTTTTCTCATTGGCAATCATACCACATCTGGTTTTTTAATATGCATGCGAAATAAAGGATATGATATTGTTAAATCATATCAGTATAAGAAAAGGGATATGAAACAATTAAAAAATATATTAATGCATTTATATAGCCAAGAACTGCAGCATATTGCCATAGTAATTATAGATGAATATTAATTGTCGAAATCCGGATATGGTGTACAAATTTTTGCACCTCATGTTTGCATTATACCATCTTTTCCGCAAGTTTATTGTTTTCTGGTTGGTATTAAATTAATAATAAAGATCCATTTTGTTACATCTTGTAATCCGTTTATTTGGCAATCGCCAATGGCAGTCAGCAGGGTTTAAGAACATCCGTTGTTCGACCTGTTAGTCAAATGCGTTTTGTTTAAATATACTTTTTCACAATTTTGGTCTTTTGGAAAATGTTGTTTGTGCTGTAGTTAGACCCTTCTACCAAGAAATTTGTTTTGCATGCACACGTATAAAAATTGCGGTTTTTATCCAACGCAATCATAGGTTTGAACGTTATTTTCAATTTAGACTTATATATATATATATAAGTAAAGGATATAAGCCGATAATAGTCCATTCTGTAAAATATTGGACAGCGGCCCCAGACCTGTTCAACATTTTACAGAATGGACTGTTAGAGGCTTATATCTTACTTAAAACATTGTTTAACACGTCAAAAAGGTGAAAAAATGCAAGCAAATACAAACTTTTGGTAAGATTTATTTTCATCAAGTGTGAAAATTGTTTTGGGAATAAACTTTCTTTACATTAAAATTTATTCTACATGTTGCCCCCTTTAAACAGTAGCTCAACTTAAACAATAGACAAAAAGAAAGTACAGCTGAAGGTAAACAACATGTATTGCTACATGAAGATAAAGACACAGCGTATGCGTATCATGATTTTTGCGTGCGCAAGCACAACTCTGAATAATTTCCTTGAATACCTTTACATGCGTTTTGTGTTTCAAAATGGATAAAGATGATAAAAGTATATTCTTAATGCAAAAAACGAAGAAAGTGATGTCGTTATCAGTGTCGGGATTGTGTTGTTTCAAACTTTGGATTAAAATCAAATGTGTATTCAGATATATTCGATTTCAGTATGGATTACAAAGAGGATACATATATAGTAGCTAATAATGGCAAGTTTTATATTTATTATATTTCAAAATGTAGTCCTCTCCTATTAGTTTCTTGTTTCTTCTGGGGTTTTTATTTCTTACTAGGTGAATGAGAAAAAAAGAAAAACATGTGAAGACAGGTTCACATTGAACCATATCGAGTGTACCGCAGTCGATTTTGTTTCAAATATATAAATTAATATGAAGAAATGTAGAAATAACAACGTGCAATCATTTTAAATTCTTTTGTTGTTCAACGGAATTTTCAAGAGACTGTTATTGTTTACCAAAACGGTACCACCTGAATATCTCCCATTTTTTCTGGGTTTTTTTTTCCTTTTTCTGCATGGTCGTGTCGCTCTTTTTTCGTTTAGTTGTGTATTGATGTCCCTTGTGTGTTTTTTAATGTTACCGAATCATAATGTTGTCTCTCTATTTCCTTTTGTAAAAAAAACTCTCTTATTTTCTTTTATAACACAAAACGATCACTACAAACAAAGTGCGAATCGGACACACGATTGATTTGTTTAACAGATAACCTGCGGTAACGTCTTCCTTTATTCTGCTTCCCATATTCATTGTCGTTCATAAGCGAATTGTTGCATTATATTCATATTCAAGCAATAATATCAGACTTAAAAAACAACAACTTGTAAATCAACGCCAAATTGAAAATTATAAAAACTATTGAAGTCCCTAGTTCATGAAGCAAGTTCTAGATTTGGACTGTGTACACAGGATGAGGT